CAGGTCCCATCCTCCCTGTGAGCTGGGATTTTCTGGGTCTCTCTGAGAAACGGAGAGAGCGCTAAGAAAAGCAGCAAGAAGAGCAAGCTGTGTTGAGAGACAGACCTGCAGTGTCAGAGCCAGACACACACAGCCCAAGAATGCAAGTATGCTGAGGGGCAGCCCAAGGAGCGCAGACCCTGTGGTGAGAAGCAGACCTGCAGTGACCCGAAAGCCAAAGGGGTCAGAGAAGCAACGCAAGGAGCTGGAGGCTAGCAAAGCAGCTGGGTGTAGTGAGCAGCTGGGACCAGCAAAGTAGGGGGAGAGGCTCAGCAGGCAGACACCACCAGCCAAGAGGCCCTGCAGGCCAGACTTGGAAAGGGATTGTAACTGCCACCTAGAGCCTGAAATCGTGTGGTCACTGCCAGAGCAAGCGTGTCCAACCTGCAGCCCTCACCCCCCACCTGCTCCCTGCAGCACAGCCAGGACCTGAGAAAGAGCCCTGGGACCTATAAGGAACAGACGGTGAACTGTCCTTACACTCTGCAAACTCCTGTTTGTGTCATCCCTGTGCTACACAGCAGGGCTATGTATTCTCTTTTAACCTCTCTCATTTTTTCCTTATTCTTTTCTTTTTAATCTGTTGCTGTTTAATAAATTGTATTTGCTTTGAACTGTATGTAATGATCAGTGGGTCAAGAAAGCATCCAGTGTGAAGAGAGCATCCCGGAGTGGGGACACCCTAGCCCCTCCTGTGAGTGACTACAAGGTCGGGAGTAAGCCCCAGAAAACCTGGGCCCAGCCTTGTTGGGAGTTCAAGGACTCTGCTACTCAGGAGGGTGGAAGGGGAGCCCTCAGGGTCAGGGAGGCCTTTGGGTAAAAGAAGTGGGAGTGGGGACTTAGATCCTTTCACTGGTCCATTTTACCGGGGTAGTATAGAAGCCAGGAAAGTTCCCCACAATAGTGGGACATCAACACCCATTTCTACGAGAGTGCCTACATGAAGTTTGCCATTGAACAATGGCTAGGTAGAAGGCCAATTAGGGGAGTTAAGTGTGAAATTCTGAAAGGCACCTATGAGAACTAGATGCTCAATTCCCAATGAAATTCACTCGGTATATTTGAAAATTTTACCCTGAAAAATCCATTTTTATGTTTTTTCCCCCAACCTTCATATGCAGCTTGTCTTTGTGAGTTCTTTGGAGCAGTGACTGTCTTTTCATTATGTGTGCACAGTCAGTCTGTCTCCATAGTTTGGGAGTGTAGGCGCTACCACAATCAAAATAATATAATACAACTTCAAACCACTTTATATTTAGATAATTTTAAGTTGACCATCACTATTTTATCTGGTTTCTTATGGATTAAGAAATTAATTTATGGAATTAATTTTTTATCTGGCCAGGACCCCAATCTATGGCTGCTGGGAGCTAGCAACGTTCTTTCCCAGTCCTATTTCAGCACTTATGGGTACATCACTATTGTACTAAATGTATGTCTCACAATGATGGAGATAGCTCTTAACTGTTGCAAGCATTTCTGCCTGATAGGCAACAATAAGATTGTACCTATTATCATCTCCTATGAAATGTAACTGCTGAGCAGTGCTGTCTGAATGTGTAGTGGAGATCTCATTTGGAGGTTTTTTACAATATTAATTAATAATGTGGATGGTTATTTTCTTTTCATTTTTATTAAACAACTGTTGGTTAGTTATTTTTATGTTTATTGATAAGAAATGGAGGGAACTTTAAATATTGAAAATTATGCCTTTAAAAGGTATTCAAAACACAAAAGCAAATAATTATGATAATTAGGAAATGTCATTTGTTCGATAAAATGTAATACCAAAATGACCTGTGAGTTATAAACTTCACTCTATTAATAGCCGGCTATATGTTAAAGGTTGGAGAAAATTTGGGGGATAAGGTGGTTTATGTATAAACATAGAGGTACCCATTGGAAGTGGTCAACATATTTTAACTGATTTTTTTAAAAACATTTTGGGGGGGAAATTTTCTGTTTCTCACTTACCCCAAAAAAGAAAAAAATGTGTTTTTTCACATCTCCTCGTTCTCATCCTTTTTCAGTATCAAAATGGGAAAAAAAGAAAAAGCAGGAAATGGGAATTAAGAGATATGAGGGAATAAATGAAAACTCCAGTACCAGAAAAATTTAAAAATTTCAAATGAAACGAAAGCCTTTCCTTTCCAAAACCTTTGGAATGAAAATTATTTCTCATGAAAACTCTGTGTTTTCAACCAGTTCTAGAACATAGGAACACAAATTCTCTTTCTCCCTTCTCTCGCTTTCTTTCTCTGTAATGCTTTGTGGAGAAGTCCTTCTGTCTCAAGCCAAAGCTAAAAAAATTACATATATATATATAATTTTCAATATCCATTAAACCACAATACAAAATAATGTAGGCCTCAATCCTGCAAACACATAGGGTATGTCAAGACTGCAGAGTTTATTCAGAATACTGGAGGTATCCTGGAAAAATGCTGCCGTGTCCAAGGAACGCATCTACTCTTCTGAAATTTTTTTCTGAAGAGCAGACACGCTCTTTCGGAAGCCCAGTATTCCTCATATTCTGAAAAAGGGGCCCAGCCCCTGACACACACTCCCCTCCCCCCGCACACACACATTTGGCTCAATGTAGATGGGCCAAATGTCAGAAAAGCCTCTTCTGAAAAAAGAAGTAGAAAAAGCTACACAAATTGCGGTTTGCAATTTGCATATCTTTTTCCAGAAGAACTGTGTAATCTAGACACAGCCATATATATGTGATTCAGAAGAATTATTTTAATGGGACAACTTTTGGAGTAAGATATTTTACTAACGAACAATTACACTTGCTTAATTTTATTCATGAGAACAGTCCTCTTGAAGTCAAAGAACACTAGAAGTCTTTGGGATAGCGTAGGAATGCCAAATCTGACTGAAGCTCTTCCAGGAGATTTTTTTCTAACACTATATATAGGAAATCCTTGCAATTTGCAAAATCACTATTTGTGGTTCTACGTATTCTTAGGAATCTGCTGTACCAGTTGGGGGGAAGTGTTTGTCAGGGGCTGGGAGCCGGGGGAAGAAAGGAGCTGAAGCTAATAGATTTTGTTGCCTCCCCTCAGGCTCTGGAGTTGGGCAAAAAATAAAGGGTTCAGTGTGCAGCATAGTACAGTCAACCTGTGGAACTCCTTGAAAAAGGATGTTGAGAGACCAAGACTTTAACAGGGTTAAAAAAATTGATGCATTCATGGAAGACAGGTCCATTATGGCTATTAGCCAGGATGGGTAACAATGATGCCCATAACCTCTGTTTGTCAGAGACTGGAAATGGATGACAGGAGAAGGATCACCTGAAGATTCTCTGTTCTGTTCATTCCCTCTGGGGCATCTGGCATTGGCTGCTGTTGGAAGACAGGACACTGGGCTAGATGGATCTTTGGTGTTACCCAGTATGGCCATTCTTATGTTCTTATGTAGGAGGGGGCTTCCAGAAAGCGGGCTGGAGGTAAGAGAACAGGGTCGAGGTGGAAGGTAGGGTGCAGGAGCAGGTTGAGAGTGACAGTGCAGGGTACCTCCAGGTAGGAGGTAAGATGCAGGAGTGTGATGGGGGTGGGGACTTTGATGAGAGGGGGCAGGCAGAGGCGGACTGAGGTGGTGAGGGTGGGGTCTAGATGGGAGGGGGCAGGGAATAGGGCAACTTTGTAGTGTAGCTCCTGGGGGGGCTCAGGTGTCACCATGCTGGCCAGCTCTGGCTTCTTGTTGCTCCCATTGGCCAATACAAGGGGTGGAACCTGCAAGCAACAGCAATGGACAGAGCTTCCCGCGCTGCTGTTCCAGTGCAGAGCCACGTCCTCCACCCAGCATCCAGCCTGCGAGACTCAGAGTTCCCCCTGCATGGCAGGAGTGTCAGCACTGGCTCCTGACTGCTGAGGGGGGAAGCTCCAAGCCTCATAGCTGGATCAAGGGGAGTCCTGGCCCATGGGTCATAGGTCTCCCCCCCCCCACACACACACACACCTGAGTGAGACCCTGAGCATATAAACAGGAACCAGCCAGCCAAGCACCTGAGGAGGAGGCTACTCAGAGACACCCCAGAGCCCTGGTCCACTCCATTCAGTGTTTCATTTCCAAGTATGGCATCCCTAATACTTCAGAGGAAGGTGCTTCCCTCCCAAATTCCTACCCTCCCCCAAAGCTCCAGAATGCATTGTTGGGTGGGTAAGAGAAATAATCACTTCCTCAACCCTGCAGGTGTCTGGCTGAAAACCAGAAACATGTTCTTTTAAGGGGTTCTCACAACAAAAATTTTGGTGGCCTCAAAGTGCAACCACCAACTCTTGCTGGTTTAAATAGGAAAAAAACAAATAAATCCACACATATATCTGTCCAAATCATTGTCATTTATATAAGAATTTAAAATTGCCTAGGACTGAAGCTCATAGCCCAAGCCTCACTTCACCTAAGAAGGTGGGGAACTCACTTGTCACCTTCTCCTACAGTGATTATGGCTCCAGTATGGGGGGTAGGGAGCAACCTCTGCTGGCAACCCCATGAGAAGGGCTGCTGGTTTGCTTCCCCACCCCACCTTATCATTACCCAAGAGGCTGTGGCCACAAGAAAAGCCTTTGGTGGCCACATTTGAGAAATTCCACGTAAGATGTAAACCAGAAGTGAACCCCAGAGATGCTGAGTCCTGTCCTTTACCATCATAAGCTACCATCTCACACAATTACATTCATAAACTTGTCCTGCTCAGGGGTGGAGCCATATAGCACCTGCTCAACTACGGGCTGGAGCTGCCTGGATCCACAGGCTGGGAGAAGGAGAGTCCTGCCAGGCGGGGAGTGTGCCTCATGGGGGGGGAGGGCAGGGTGGACGGAGCTAGCACTGGGACTCCAGATTGAGGCTGCAGTGTGTGATGTCAGAAAGAGAGAGACATGACCAGCCAGGTGGTAGACTTCAAGCTGAGGTTGGGAAGGGTGGGTAAAGCTCAAAGCCCAGCAGAGCTCCCTTCTGCCCAATGGTGCTTCTGCAGCCTATGTGCCCTGGGCATCCTCATCTTCTGGTGAGCATTTGAGCAGTAAGTGCTGACTACAGGTGGTAAGGGTAGGTGGAACTCCCACCCTTCTTGTCCCCCATCCTCTTTGCTCCCGCCCCACCATCATTGCCTACCCAAAAGTCCGAGTCCATCCTGTTTTCTTTTCCTAGCTCTGCCATTGGTCCAGCTCTCTCTTCAAACAAATTAAGTCCTGAGCTTGTTCTAACATCTCCTGTGCGGAGACTGTTCCAGAACCTCACCCCTCTGATGGTTACAAACCTTCATGTAATTTCTAGCCTGAACTTGTTCGTGGCCAGTTTCTATCCACTTGTTCTTGTGCTGACACTGCCTGTTAACTTAAATAGCTCTTCACCTTCTCTGTTATTTACCCCCTGATGTATTTATAGAGAGCAGTCACATCCCCTCCCAGACTTCTTTTTGCTAGGCTAAACAAGCCAAGCCCTTCCAGTGTCCTCTCATAAAACAGGCCTGCTATTCCCCTCAACATGCTCTCCTCTGCACCTGTTCCAGTTTAAATTCATCTTTCTTGAACATGGGTGATCATAATTGTACAGTGTTCCAAATATGGTCTTACAAAGACGTATCTTTTTCTAATGCAACTGAAAATGCCTTACCTGGTATGTCCTACAATCACGTTTGACTTTTTTCAGAGATGCATCACATTGCTGGCTCATAATCATCCTGGGACAGCCCCACACACTCAGGTCTCCTCTGTCACTCCCAACTGATGACTCCCCAGCTTGTAGAAGTAATACTTATTATTAGACCTTAAAGGCATGACTTTGCACTTCGTACTTATTGAATTTCATCCCACTCCAGGCTTCAAGGTCATTCTTTTCCTGTATGATATTCCAATCCTTCTTTCTCTTGATAGTGGCTCATACCTTTGTATTATCAGCAAATTTTGTTAGCGGATGCCTCCTTTTAGTGCCAGGGTTACTAATAAAAATATTGAATACTATTAGTCCCAAGACAAATCCTTGCAGAACTCTATGAGTGACCGCTCTCCAGTCTGATAATTCACTTTTTAGCACAACCCGTTGCCTTTCTCCAGTATCAAGTTCCCTCTCCATCTTGCAGTTTTTGTACTGATCCCCGTCTTCCCTAATGTAGCTAATAATTTCCCAGGTACCATGTGATTCTGTCTTATGCTTTATTGAAGTCCACATCTATTAGACCCACTGCATTTCTTCTATCTAAAAGGTTAGTTATTTTCTCAAAAACAGAAATCAGGTTCATCTGACTGACCTGTCTTTGGTAAGCCCATGGGGCTTCCCTACATCCACTTTACCATTTACCTCTCTGGATTCAATTATTTTTTCCTTCACAATTTGGTCTAAAGACTTGCAAAATGCTGAGGTTAGTCTAATAACATGTCTGTAATTGCCATTTCTATCACTCGTTTCTATACTGCCTTCATGCACATGGTCCATATGATCATCCTTAGCGAAAACTGAGGTATAATACTTATTTAGTTTGGGGCTATATCTGGATTACATATAATCTCATCCATACCACATAGCAGCCAAACCTCACCCTTCCTTATTCTCTTTTTAGTTATATAACACAAAAAAAGCCCTCTTGTTTGTCTTAATTTCCTTGGCAAAGAGCTAATTCAGCTTGATTTTTAGCAATTCTCGCTTTAGTCCTACATGTTCTAACCACCATGGTGTAGTTTCCTTTGTTGACCATTCTCTAGAGGCTCTCTGCTCACTGCTAATGACCTTTTTGAGGTGGTTATTCAGTCAGCTAGGGCTGAAACCTTCCCCAAATTTTTTATACTTGTATGTATGTTGAGCCAAAGCTTACTGAGGGTTGCTCGTGACTAGTTAGCACATCAAGTACCCCACATCTCAGAGCATGGGACCTTACTTTTGACTGAAGCAACAGGATATGTCTAATATGCAGATGAGGAGTGGGGGACCTATGTGTAAGCGGGGGAATGGTCCCGCTATTGTGGGGAACTTCCCTGGCTTCTATACACCCCGGTGAAATGAACCAGCGAAAGGATCTGAGTCCCTGCTCCCACTTCCTTTACCCCACGGCTCCCTGATCCTGAGGGCTCCCCCTCCACTCTCCTGAGTAGCAGAGCCCTTGAAACCCCAACAAGGCTGGGCCCAGGTTTCCTGGGGCTTAATCCCTGACCTTGTAGTCACTAGGGGCAGGAGTTAGGGTGTCCCCACTCCGAGGTGCTCTCTTTACACTGCAGGCCTTCTTGGCCCAGTGACCACTTCATAAGGTTCAAAGCAAATACAATTTATTAAACAACAACGGATTAAAGAGAAAAGAATAAGAAAAAAATGAGAATGGCTAAATGAGAACACACAGCTCTGCTCTGTAGCACAGGGACATCAAAACAGCAGCCTGCAGAGCATAAGGACAGTCCACAGTCTCTTTCTTAGAGGCCCTGGATGTGCTGCAGGGGAGGCTACAGGCTGGACATGCTGGCTCTGGTAGTGACCACACAGTCTCAAGCTCGAAGTGGCCAGACCCCTCTCCCAGTCCAGAGCCTTTCCCCACACTTTGCAGGTCCCAGTAGCTCACCACATCCAGCTGCAGGCTGTGCTGCTTGGCCAGTTCCAGCTCCTTGTGTTGTTTCTCTGTTCCTTTTGGCTTTCTGAGCACTGCCAGTCTGCTGCTCAACACAGGGTCTGCACTGCTTGGCCTGTCTGTGTCTGGTTCTGTCGCTGCAGGACTTCTTCTTGTACTCCTCTTTCAGCTCTCTGTCTTTGCAGGACCTCTTCTGCACACAGCTGGCTCTGCTCTTTCAGCTCCCTGTTTGCTCAGAGAGAGAGCCAGAACAATCCCCACTTACAACCTGTCAGTCAGGCTGAGCTGGAGTGTTGACTGCTTTCCATTGTCTCTGGGGTCTGTCAGTCTCATGAACCCTTCCCCTTCTGAAGCTGGTAAACCAAAAACTCCCACAGAGTTTTAGTAAGGGGGTAACAGTCCCCTTACACAAGCAAGGAGCTTGCGAACAGGTGAGTGCTAACAGGAAGTTTTGAGAGGGAGTTCTCCAGGTAAAGGGGAAACAGACTCGCAGGCTGGCGCAGCCTCTGGCTTATTAGGATCCATCCCACAGCAAAGCTTGGGGCTTCCCTCCACAGTGGGGTAAGCAGGTGCTGGCACTCTGGCTCCATGGCAAGTTTCTAAGCTTCAGCAGCTCCGGCCCCACAGGAATGGAGCCTTAGCGCCAGATCACCCCGCAGGCTGATTTCAAGTAAACCAGGGTCATATCTAGAGAGTAAGGGAAGCCCTGAGGCTCGATGGGAACCATGTCAGTGAGGTTTGCTTGCTTGCTTGGAGCCAGGTCAAGTCAGTGAGGGTTTTTGTTTGTTTTGGTTTTGTTCTTTGGAAGCTTTGTCAGTGAGGGGCCCATCTGATTTTTTTGTGGGTCAGCAGCCCCTGACCATAAAAAGTGTCCCCACCCCGATGGAGTCTATACACAAGGGCCCAGTAAGTGCTACTGCATTAGATATATGGTGTGTGTTTGTAAGACCTCAAGGAATTATAACAGGGTTGGGGAACCTAAGGCCCAGGGGCTGGATTTAGCCCCCAAGGCTCAGAACTCCCAGGAGCCCGCAACGGCCCACCACGGGTCTGGAGCAGACAAAATCTACTGACCTGCCCCTCACCCCCCAGGCTCTGAGGTACAAGGAGAATGTGGGAAGGGTTTTTCTCCTCATTTTGAACCTCTAGCCCGCACTTCTTGATCCTTTAGTCATTATTTGTCCCAAGAAATCAATTGAACATGGGTCCAGTGTCCCTCCCATAAGGTTGGGGAGGGGCTTTTAGAAGGTGGGCGGGCTCTGCCCGCCCACCATCCCATGATTTCAAATAGGTCCTCCTCAGTCAGGGACCATCTCAGTGAGGGTTGGCCGGGGGGAGGAGGGGTTGCTTCCCACTTGTGTACAGCCCTGAACTGATTTTTCTGTAGATCAGCAGCCCCTGACCCAAAAAAGTTTCCCCACCTCGGATTATAGTGATTCTAAATTGAAAGGAAGGTAAAAACTGAGAGCCAAGTGTCACTGTTGTGTACAGCTAGTCACTTGTAGGGCAGATGGAGAGAATATGGGCCCCCCTGCATTGTTTTGTCAAAATTCACAATGTAAACCTGACCTTGAGACTCCTCCTGACATGGATCAGTGTAATCCCTCAATCATTCTGCCTGGGTATCCCAGCAGCCTGTGGCTTATTGCAGCTGGGTGATGATTTGCCATTGGTTGCTATCTCTTCAAGGAAACTAATTGTTTTAACACTCAAAGGGTGCATCTACACTGGGATAAAAAAACAGGGCTAGCTCTTACAGGACTTCAGCTTCAAATTGCTGTGTAGGTCTCCGGGGCCCTGCAAGCCTGAATTAACTGACCTGGGACATCTGAGGGTTTTTATTCTTGTGTAGATGTATCCTAAGAAAAAGAAATGCCATTGATGGGGGCATTTTCACATATTCACATAGTTAATCTAATGAGGAGTCATGTTCCTAATTTAACCTTTGAGTTCCTAATTTAACCTTTGAAGGAAATTCTCAAAGCAAAAAGAATTTGCCTTTAAAAATCTAATTTCTTAGTTTCATCCTCTGACTTCTTTACTTTTGCAAAATTTGGAAACCCCACGGGAGTTTGAAGAGGACTGGTTCCCCTTTAATCTAGAGTCAGATTTCAGCACATTCAGTACAATGTCAAGACCTATTTACTTGGGGTCATGTTCCAGCTAATGACTCTAGTTAAAGGGGTCATGTTCCTCAGTCAACTGTGGGAAATAAATTATATAAGATCACTAGACCTTTGACCCCTGACCAATACACCATATACCAAATTAAACAAATGACTTCTGGCACATTAATTTGCTCTTTCATGGTGTCATATGACCAGTTGGTAATTTGCTTCACGATGTGTCACTTTCCAGAATTAGTTATGATATTCCCTAAATGTTATAAAGCTGTTATTAGAAAGTAAAGAACTTCAGATAATAGTCATATGATTGTTATGAGGAACTTCGTTTAGAAGAGCTGGTGTCCAGATATAAAAAATGAAGCAGAGACCAATTTTAATTAGGAATAAATGCCCACAGTATCATATTGATAAACCCTTTGGGGCAGAAATTGAGGTTGTGTGAAATGAATTAGCCAGATAACCTGGCAATGAGTGATGACATACATAACTATAACTAACTATAACTATAACTATAACTATAACTTTCCATTATGATTCACGGAACACCATGACAAAATGATACCTCTACACATTCAGTATTGCTGCTAAGAATTGCCAGATTTGATCCATCTTTGTTAGTATTAATGGGGAGCTTCCTTAATTGGCATAATAAAAACCTGCCTAGAAACATAGTAGTTAATTCTTCATCTTAAGTTTAGAATGACAACATTCACATTTGGATTTCAGCATGGTGTTCTGTGATCCCTTTCCCTAACATCAGACTGCATGGAGGTGAGCAAAGCATTTTCAGATGTTGTGTTTTGCAGCAGAGCAGAAACAGCAACGGCAGGACACATGTTGAAATACTGTGTTTTTCCTCTTGCATCATCTGCAGTCATTCTGAGGTGATAAAACAAGCCCAGTTGCTGCTTCCCACATAGTACAGTTATGCTACGAATGGCATGGCAAATGGCTGTGGTGAAGGCATTAACATAGCTCACATTCAGCATCCAATGGCATTTTGTCCCTAGTGTGGTGCCCACAGCCCTGCTGACCATTATAACATATGCTATGGCTGTCTGAGTATCTAGCTGCCTGGGCATCTGTCACAGTCTCGGGAGTTTTCTGATCTGTGTGATTATTAGAACAAGAGAAATAAAAAGTAGCTTTAGTTATACCTTAAGGCTGTGTCTACACTGGCATGATTTTGCGCAAATACTTTTAATGAAAATGTTTTTCCAGTAAAAGTATTTGCGCAAGAGAGCATCTATGCTGGCATGTGCCTTTGTGCAAAAGATTTGCTTTTGCGCAAATGCATCCCTGCCAGTGTAGACGCTCTCTTGCGCAAGAAAGCTCCGATGGCCATTTTAGCCATCGGGCTTTCTTGCGCAAGAAATTAACGTTGCTGTCTACACTGGCCCTCTTGCGCAAGAATACTTGCGCAAGAGGGCTTATCCCTGAGTGGGAGCGTCAGAGTATTTGCGCAAGAACCACTGATTTTGTACATTACAACGTCAGTGTTCTTGCGCAAATACTCGCAGCCAGTGTAGACTGGCAGCAAGATTTTGTGCAAAAGCAGCTGCTTTTGCCCAAAATCTTGCCAATGTAGACACAGCCTAAGACTGTAATCATTGCTGCATTTTATAGCATTGAGATACTAGGGCTCCTGATGGAAGTTTCTTTTAGGCCTTGTTTATACTTACCAAGAGATTAACACTCTGGAGATCGATCTTCTGGGGTTTGATTTAGTGGGTCCTAAAGGATCCACTAAATTGATCGCTGATAGTGCCCCTGTTGACCCCAGTACTCCATGGGATTGCGACGAGTAAGGGAAGTTGATGGGAGAGTTTCTTCCATCAACCTTCTGCAATGAGGATGCTGCAGAAATTCATCTTAAGGTACATCAAGTCCAGCTATACTATTCTTGTAGCTGGAGCTGTGTGTCTTAAATTGACTTTCTTCCCTAGTATAGATCTGGCCTTAAGTGGTGAAATAGAAGCAAGAGTCTTATGCATGGTGGACAAGATTGAGTTTTCCCGCTTCTATAAAAGTAAGTTGGCCTGAGCACTGACCTCACCAATCCTCCAGCAGTTTCCATACATTGCCTCCACAGTTTCACTAGAAATATTTGTATCTCTTCCTCGAAGAAACGCACATTCTATTTTCAAATGACCTTATCAAATAGAACTGAGCTAATACGTCATAACACATAACTTATTCAACAAATTTTGCCTTGATGCATGCATTCTCCTGGAATGCCTGTGAACAGATTGTGGCTTTCTTGCCTTCCTTATTAAAATAATAATTTAAAACATATTTTATGCCTCTCTTGTCGAAGTTCATTGGTGTGTTGCTTAATATGATTGGCTGAATAAGCCCCATGATACTGTTTCTTTTCTCTAATTACCTGAGTTTAGTTCTCTCAACCAGATTTCTGGAGAAAAGGTTTGTAGAAACTGAATTTGGAATTTGGGTTTTTGGCGTCAATGCTCAAATGTGTAAGTGTAAACCTCATTTTCCAATGTGCTTTCCTATAATAAAACCTATTTGCATGAATGTTCATGGAAAAGGAACACAAACCAGGAGGAAATATTGGAAATATGAGAGTGAATTTGTTTTAAAAAATGTGCATAGGTGCTGGAATTTGGAGTGTTAGGGCTGCAGCAGAGCTTCCAGACTTGAAGTGGTTTCCATCATAGACAAGATTCACTTTACAGATTGCTTCAATGGCTTTCAGCACCCCCATTGTAAAAAAATGTTCCAGCATCATTGACTATTAGAAAAAAGAAATACTTTTGCATTATTCATCTAGCTCTATTATCAGGTAACTTAGACTCTAAATATGTGCCCAGCCTTTTTGTGTAAAGGATTATGGGGGGAAAAATACCTAGTGTGCACATCCCAATCCCAATATTTGTGTAGAACCCATCTGAGCTCCCTCTGCTGGTTCAGAGCTGGCAATTACCAACTTTATGCTCTTCCTAGCTCTGTATTGAGCACTTACGTCATCAGTCGCACTCAACCACAAGCAAGGAAATAAGCCGACAGCACTATATAAATTGCTGCTGCTCTAGAAAGACAAAAGATAAGTCAATGTTAGCCAAATAGA